AGCTTGTGGAGTGACAAATGGTTGGCTTTGAGAATGAGGCATGGATGACGCAGTAGTAAAGGTTTGAATCTGAGGTTGTTGAACAGCAAATGCTTGACCTGAGGAAGAGATGATTGATGAAAGGGCATTGTTAGAGGAAATTCCGAGATTTGCAGTCGAATACGAGTTCACATGGTTAATCTCTCGCTGTTTATCATCAATATCACAAGCTTTGATGATCGCCATTGTTTCAGCAAGAGTAAGGCGATTCAGATCCTTGGTTTTCTTAATAACAGCAACATTCATGTCCCAGGACTTTGGAAGAGCATTCAATAGCTTTTTATTTATCTCGGACTTGGTCAAGAAGATCCCAGATATGTTCATTTCAGTAGTGAGAGATGTGAATCGCTGCAGCTGTGCCTCCAGGGTTTCTCCTGGAATGTAGTTAAACATGTTGAATTTCTGTCGCAACATATCCTGGCGGCTATCCTTCATGTCTTCGATTCCTTCATACACCTCAATCAAGGCTTCCCACAAATCCTTAGCTGAAGTATATTCTCTGAAACCTTGAGCTATATCAGGAGATAAAGCCATGGTCTGAGTGGCCAAAGCCCTTTCCTATTCTTCAACTTTCTCAAAATCGTCATCTGTATAGTTCTCAACTTCTTTGTCAATCACTTGTCCTGCAACCGTCATAGTAATTCGGACAGGACCCTTGATGATACTTCTCTAAACTTTAAAGTCTTTCATTTTAACGTACTTCTCAATCCAGTATTTCCATTCAGGAAAACCATCTGCAGACAGCAGTCTTGGAATACGTGTGGTTGTGCCCATGACAGTATCCAGTTCAGGATGATGTGTTTGACTTTTACAATCCATTGATGATTAAATTTTAAATCAGAAATTAAAACAAAAGGAACGTCAAAAGTGAGTTTCCGGTCAAGGTGTTTACGGCCGTAAACTGAGTTTACGGTCGGATGTTTACGGCCGGATGTTTACGGTCTAAGTGTGACATCCCCATTTTCACGGCCAGAAAAGACCGATTTTGTTTATGCTTTATAAAAATCAGAGTACCTCTTTTAATAAAAATGTTGCGGAATTTGTTCCCAGTAAAACATGATAAATACGTTATCAAAGCATTTCTGAAGAAATGTATTTTTATTCATTTTAAAACATTTGGGATGTCATCGTCAATACAGAAACATAAGCATAAACAGAACTTACATTCATTATCACCAGTGATTTATATCTCCTTAATCTCTCAGTGTAATGTAACTTCATATCGACACCTGTGATACAAATAAACTGAGTGGGTCAGGTTGGGAAACCTGGTGAGTACATAGGGTTTTCAACCCACAATAATATAATTATTATGTTTAATCATCAAACAGTTAACCCAATTACCCATCCCCATTATCTTCTTTATTCTTAAGGATCTACCCTAAGAATCAGCTATTTCTTGTTCATTCATTCCTAAGGATTATCCTATGGAATAGGTACGAATTTCATCGTTGTCAATGACACATCTATCAAGCACAGCTGGTAGTTCTATCACTTAGGCGCATCTGCCAAAATTGTGACATTCTCTACGAGGCGCATCTGCCGGTATTGTCCTTTAGGCGCATCTGTCGGGGTTATGAGGTTCTCTATTAGGCGCTTCTTCCGGTAGAGTGCTTTAGGCGCATCTGCCAGGGTTTTATTGACAGTATCGTTTTCGAGAATCCACTCGCGATACAAGTCAATGGGTTTTTAGAGTACACCGGTGAACACATCGTTCACAACACCTACAGGTTGCGAGCCTGCTAGTGTTCCACTGGACTGTCTAGAATAGTCTGTGGTTGTCATCCATACTCTGCTAGATGACGGGGCCAGCATTTGGATAAAAGGCTTCTCACACCGTCCACCTCTCACCCTTACCTCATGGTCTATTCTACCTCTCATCTCATCATTCGACTCATATTTCATCTACCCATGTTTTACCCAACATATTTTTTAGATATAAAATATATATACAGTTTAAATCATTTTAAAACATGTATAAAATTGTTCATCCAGCATAGATAACAAGTATACAAATAAGATGCACACATAGCACGTAATTTATATTAAATACTTCATATCTATGTGTAAGATGAAAGTAACTATGCACTCACCTGATATGGTGGTGACTCGGCACTCGGACAGCACTTCGTTACTCTTAAAATAATTTCCTTCGACAAAACCTAGTACCATTACCACTAGGGTTTAGTCTAATATTTACCGAGACTAATTAATAGTCTAGCCATTATTACTATTATATAAGCATTAAGCAACACTCTTATATAACTCATTATAATAGCCCAAATAATTATTTTAAGGTCCTAATAATGTTACTATATTGAAACATAAGCTATACTAGCAAATAGGGTAGGCATAGCTCACTTACAGCGGGTTTTTCTCAAAACCGGGCTTCGCTGGAGCAGCGTTCCCGAGCCGAAAGGCTCTTCTTCTCGGAGCCGTCGGGCACTCCGGGGCTTCCGCCTCGTGCTAGGGAGGTTCCCTAGGCTTTTCGGGGGGTTTTGGGGGCTAGAGAGAAGTTCTAGAGAGAGAGGGAAGTGATGGGAGGTGTGAGGAATGAAGAGGGCTTCACTTCTTATTTATAGGAGGCTGGAGGGTCACTTACGTCGTGAATTTTTAATATTCACGTCGTGAGCCAACTTGGGCACCAAGGCAAAGCCTGGTGCTGACACGTGGCATCGCACACAGGGTGGAAATCAATCGATTTTCAAAAATTCATAACTTTCGCATACAAGCTCCGTTTTCGACGTTCTTTATATTCATGCGTAGGTAAAAATAAGATCTACAACTTTCATTTTGACTCTGTTGGCTAATTCTCGACCGATCTTAAATTTAACAGTAGGAGGATATTAGACTGTTAAATGACCGCGAACAATTCGTAACTCCTTCATATGGACTCTGTTTTCGTCTGTCTTTCTATCGTTGAGTTCCTATTAATGAGATCTTCAACTCTCATTTAGGTCGCGTCGGCCAAAAACCGCTCGAACTAAAATTCGAGTTTCGGGTCGTGCACTGCTATGCCAAATCTTAGAAAAATCATAACTTCCTCATACGAAGTCAGATTTGGGCGTTCTTTTTTTTGTATGTTCTCGGTTTAACGTATACCACATATTCTACAACTTGGTTAAGATCACTAAGGCTAAAAAGTCATCTATCTTAAATTTATTATTTACGTCTCCCGGTGCCGTGCCGGTTTTGCCGAAAAACTTCGACGGGCCATAACTTCTTCGTTATAACTCGGATTTCGGCGTTCTTTATATGTACGGAACCCTTGAGACATATTCTACAACTTGGTTAAGATGATTTATTCTAAATAATCTTTTGTCGAAAAGTCATTTTCGACCCCTATTATCTCTAAATTGACTAGCCCGGATCTACGGGCGTTACACTGAGTGTTTACGGTCTTGTGTTTACGGTTTTTGAAGCTTAGTTTACGGTTATTGAAGATGCTTTGTTTACGGTTCAAGAACACAGCTTATGGTCTTTGAATGTTCTTGATTTTATGGCTGTAAATTGAGTTTACGGCCGTAATCTCTTGGCAGTAAACTCCCAGAAGTTCTTGAAAACACGATTTTGGAGTAGATTCGATTCCTTTAGCAACGAAAACACCAGACCCAATCTCGAACAGTGAAGTATATAAGTTTAAACGGCCGAAAACTCGATTGAATGATGCTTTGACACCGGTTATGCTCTGATACCAATTGTAAGGTCCTAAAACAGATCTTTACCAATGATCAAGCAATCAAACAATCAAAAGAAACTAAATATGAGTAGAAGAAGAAAAGGAATCAAGCTTGCACACGTTTATTACTGAAAAACGCCTGGTACAACTCGTTATACTTGGCCGTGAACTCTGTGGCGTCAACAACTAATAATGACCTAGACAACCTCTATATATAGTGGACTTGGGCCGAAAACTGGGTTTACAGCCGTAAACAGGCTTACGGCCGTAAACTCACTACAGGGCCGTAAACTCACTAACAAACCACTAAAACCACAATAAAGACTCAAAAGAACTATTACAATGAAAGCCTAGACCAAACCACTAATTGGACCCTTCAATTGTGCCACACTTGAACCCACTTGCGCCATCCATATTCCTGTTGCGCCTTGATGACGCAAGATGGACCATCTTGCTCCTTGATGAGCCAAGTATGCAATGAAGTCCTCTATGATGCTCAAGATCGTTCAAGGATGCTCAGAATTTGGTATGCTCAAGGATCACACCATGTTGCGGGGATGGATGTTGGGCCATTAGTGTTCATAATGCGCCACTTATACATCATGATGCTCCACTATGGCAGAAGGTGCTCCATCATGTGTGCTGTTGATGCTCATAGGTTGTATGACATGGAAGAATGTTCCAGAAGATGCTGAATGACGGAATATGGTTGGTTGTCACCTTTCATGGGCCTATGGACCAATGGGCTTGGCCCATTAGGGTTTTAGGTCTGATCCCTCAAGTATAAATAGACTCATACCCCCATCATTGTAAATTGCTAGATTTCTGTGAAAACTCAAAGTGAGATACAATTTTGAGTGCTTGTAATAGTTCCAGAAATTTAATAAAATCCTCTCTCTCGTTCTCCCGTGGACGTAGGTCACCTTAACTGAACCACGTTAAATATCGTTATCTTTTGATTTACGTTTTTCAGAAGTTTTGTGAGTTCATCGAAGTTTGTCTTTGATATTTGTTTGAAGTTATTAACTTGTTTTGTTGTCACCCAACATTAATCATCCATGTAAGCGTGTTTGTGATTTTGGTTGTGTATGTATGGTATGTATGTAGGTATGTATGTATGTATGTATGTTTGTACGTACGTACACACCCACGGATGTGTAGCACATTGTAATGTAATAAATACGTGGGTGACATATATAGTCTGCAATTTTGTCAAAAGTGACTCCAGCTGAGTGTTGTTGATTCACAGCTCCCACATATTCATTCTCCTCCTGCTGCTAATATGGTTGGGGGTATTGTAATACCACTGGTTATTGAAGATCTTCCTGGTGTATCGGTTCCACAAGAGCATAACAGTGTTTCAGATGATGCGGTTGCACTTGCACCTGTTGGATACAAGGTCAGAGATGTTCTTAATATTTGGTTGCATATTGCAGTTTTTTTTTTTCTTTTTGGTTATTCTTCATCTTCAAGGTTTTGTTGTATGTGGTATTTGATTTTTTTTTTAAATCCCTTGCACAGGTTAATAATCGTCTTCGCTTTACTGCACTCTTGAAAGAATTTCTTAATCCTATTAAAGTATCCGCTGAGGAATTTTTCTCTGAGTGGAGATTACTAGCCAGACCTCTGAAACTTCAAGAAGTGGTTTGTGCATGTTACATCATCTTTATATAAATTTTGAGTAAGTTATGTCACATCCATCATAATATGTACAGGTTAAAGGTGTGAATTTGATGGCGTTGGAAGAAATAACAAAATTGTTCGATAGTTTGAGGTTGATGGTTTGTCCTGGACTGGTAAGATCTTTGTAGTATCCTAAAATATAATTCATATTCCCTTTAATTAATATTCTTGATTAAATCTTTCATTATTTTCAGGATCCAAATGCAAATAATCTAGTTGCAAGCACAGACTTCTACTCCAAGGATATAGGAGCCATGTTATGCTTGATAAGAATTGAAACGGATCCAACTGACAGAACGCAGCTCCGCATGACAGTTGCGTCAAGGAATCCAACACTAACATTCCAGTAGGTTTTACAGATTTTAGTTTGATATATATACAAGAACAAATGTGGACATTATTTGAATAGTTGTCTACACAGGTTGAAGGAATTCATCAAGAAATATGTGGTTAGGATTGATACAGCCGCCAAGCAACCACCACGACCTCTGCCAACTTCACCAGGAGGACCTTCGATAGCCTTAGCAGGTGCACCTGTTGGAGACCAGGATATTACTGTAAAGGTATTGTCTCCTTCCTGTATATCATGCATATCCACCGACCTTATTAGTCCTCAGTATCTTTTTTATCTCAATTTTTAACTTCCCTTAATCTTCTCACAGCCAATAAGAGATATAGCAGAAGGATTCTATGCTTTATGCCTCAAAGATATGGGAGTCCTGTATGAAGATCCTTATATTCAGGTAAATCATTTATTATATGTTTTGTTAATTATACTCTAATGGATTTTAAGGTACTAATGATTCCTGTTATTGGATATATATTATATATCCTAGATTGGCATCAAAGCAGAATGGCAAAAACACTATGGCCGCATTGTACTTTTTTTGGGAAACAAGAATGCTAGTGCCCCACTTGAATCGGTACATGTGGTGATATTACCTCCACCCCATTTGAAGTTGGAGTTTTCATTAGTACCAGAAACTATACCTCCACGTGCACAGGTCAAACATGTTTAAATGTTTTTGATACATGGTAATATTGCATTTTAACTAAATATTGAATAAAAAAATTTCTTAAAACGGTGTTTTTGTAATTGTTTAGGTTCAATGCCCACTTGAAGTGATAAATCTCAACCCAAGTTGCGAAGTTGCGGTTCTTGATTTCTCCTACAAGTTTCAAAAAAAATTGGTATTTAACTAATGCTTTTATTTTTGGATATTCTTCATCTGCAAGGTTTTGTTGTAGTTTCATGCATTTAATTTTTGAAATTTCTGATGCAGGTTATTAATAGACTTCGCCTTCCTACAGTCTTGAACAAATTCTTGAATCCGATTCAAGTATCCGTTGAGAATTTTTTCTCCCAGTGGAGATCACTGGCTGGACCTTTGAAACTTCAACAAGTGGTTTGTGCATTTCTGTCTTTACATCAATTATTGAGTAAGTTATGTGACATCCATCATAATTTGTACAGGTTAGGGGTGTGAGACCAATATCATTGGAAGAAATGGCAAATTTGTTCAATAGTTTGAGGTTGATGGTTTGTCCTGGACTGGTAAGTTCTTTGTAATTGTGATTATTTTATTTAACAGCAGGTCATCCCAAGGTTGAAGCTTCTGACATTCGAAGTTGGGGAAACTCCATTTTGGAGTGGTTAGTTCCCAAGTGATCACCAATGATTCACCTTGATGGTGTTTGTTCATTGTAGTATCATAAAATATAAACAATATCCCCTTTAACATTGTTGATTAAAATTTGATTAATTTTCAGGATATAAGTGCAAATAATATAGTTGCAAGCACAACCTTCTATTCCCAGAGTACAGGAGCCATGCTATGTTTGGTAAGAATAGAAACGGATCCAGCTGATAGAACGCAGATCCGCATGACAGTGGCATCAAAGAATCCAACACTAACATTCGAGTATGTTAATTTTTAAGTTTTTAGTTTCGTCTTATAAATACAAAAACAATTGTGAAGATCATTTGACTGGTTATCTACACAGGTTGAAGGAATTCATCAAGGAACATTTAGTTATGATTCCTACAGTCACCAAGCAACCACCACAACCTCAGCCAACTATGCCGCCACAAATTGTTGAGCTTTAAAAGACATTGGCAGTATAGGATCGAATACAAGCCCACTGACAAGAAACTATAAAGTGGTTATACAAGCAGTGTTGTAAGATAATTAACGTCAAGGAAAATCACACAAAACACAGAGTTTAGAGTGGAAACCTAAAATGGGAAAACCACTATGAAGGACACTATATTAATCTCTTGAAAGGGAAGAAATGAGATTAAAAAAACATGTAATAGCCCTATGTATGAGAAATTATTAAAACATCTCTCCTAAAAAACTATAAAAGTTAGGAATAGATATCCCAAATAAAACACAGCATTAGGAAAAAGGAAACTTTGATAGCAACCAACACCCTTTATCGACAGTTTCTAGAAATGTCACCTACCATGGAAGATTCAGGGCATATTTAACAAACTCCTCATTAGGACGAAACCAATCTTTAGAAAAGTAAACTTGAACCATCTCGAGAAAATGAAAAACATATAATGTTCAAAATTTGTTGATCGGAGCCAGTTATGTCATCATGTTCCCAAATTGTTATTGGTGTCGCTCTTGGTCGCCTTGATATTGCCTTGGGCAATGACATTTTGATGTAATGGTGTCTTATGTCAATGTGTTTATTTGCTCGTGTAACATCAAATCGTTCGTGATTCATATCACATTTTCACTATCGCAATAAAATATAGTTCATGAAAAATCACCACATCTCACACATTACCACCCTCTAAGACATGTAGCCTCTTTACACGCTTATAAACTTAGCTTCCATAGTAGACAAAGCCCGGGTGGATTGATGTGTAGCCTTCCAACTTACAACACAATCACCGATATTGGAAACATAACCGTGTCTGATCTTCTTTTGTTGAGATCACCTGCATAATTTAAATCAACGAATCCACTTAAACCAAATATTAATTTTCCAGAGTCCGGGCCTTTCAAGTTCCTTTAAGGTAACAGAAGATCCATTGGATGACTTTCTGTGTTGTTAGCCATAAAATAACTTCAACACTCAATTCATGTGATAAGTCGCCATCATGGCATACATTAACGATCCAAACGCACTTACATACAAAACCTTTGACATATCATCAATTTCCTTGTTTGTTTGTGGACAAAGTTGGGAAGGGGAGTACTAATTGGTTTGACATTTTGCACGTTGAGACAGTGTAGAACTTTGTTGTTGTAGCTGCTTTGTCTTAATTATAAATTGTTTATGGATCCATTCCTTAAATTTACATACCAAGTATTTTATTTGCATCACCCGAATCTTTTATCTCAAACTCCAGCCAAGTTGGTTTTTCAGTTTGATGATGGACAATAGGAAGTAGTATTGACATAATCACCAAGCTACTTCTGTCGTAACCATACGTAATCACCAAATCAGATATGAATATATCCATGAATTCCCATAATGAATTTGGTTATAGGTTTATGATATTCTTTAAACGAAGGGAAATACAAAGGGAAATATAAGTATGGTTAATTTGGTATGGCCCACAAAGGACACAAAAAAAAATTGAATTCCTGAACTAAGATCGGTACGGTGGATTTAGTATGGTCGACAAAGAACAACTCTCTAAACATTTGCGGAACCGCACACTATCTATCACACATCTTAAGCAAAATAATTATCAAGGAAACAATGAGTTATGTAATGAACTCCATATGGTTTCCAGTTTCGGCCATTGGTTATTGTGATGATGACAATGAAATTATCATGAGTGTGCTATGAAGGGAATCATTGGTGTGATTCTCTAAGACCCAAATAAGAAGAGTTGCATAAAAAGGGTACACGCGTGTGAAAAATTATTTTAGGGCAGTACGATGACTCAAATACTTTCACTCAGATCTTGGGGAGGACAAAAATGTAATTCACAGACACATAAAGAGTTCAAATATATTGTTAGACGAGATCATGCAACCCAAACTTTGTAATTTTAGTTTGTCAATGATAGAGTACTTTACTGATTCTCATTCCTCTTAGATGAATAGTGTAGAGTACAACAAATAAGCTAGGCCCAGAAATACAACATTGGGTTGATAGAATAATATACAATAAGGCCTATAACATATATACACTAATAAGCCCCCGCAGTTTGAGTGTTGAGACAAAATGCTTAAACTGGTGCCACAATCAGGAAATGATGAAGACGGGAGGTCTTTCTTTTGGGTTTTCTATGCATCAAATACACTTAAACTAGGCAGCGGAAAAATCAATGTATTATATACCTAAGTTTACATGCAACTTAAGGATCCAGGTTTCATAATATCACTGAACATAAATCATAAAGAAGAATAACATACCTCCTATGTAGCCATTGATCTCCATGCTTGAGATCTTGTCCTCCTTAAAGTTGCGTGGATGAGAGGACCCAAACCAGAATCCCTCTAATGGTATCACACTCAATGACTCCAAAGAATGGAGTAAAAAATAACTAGGAAAATTGTCAATTTCACAAACCCTAAAAGGGATAAAAAAAAACATCTTGCCTATAAAGAAACAGGAAGAAGGGTGGCGAAAAATCAATCCAGGGAGCAAGGAAGGATGGGATCCCTAAGGCCCTATTTATAGCCTTGGATCCCTTCCTAGGTTTTATCATCCTTCTCATGTGGGACAAGGAGCCAAAAACGAAATTTACTCCTCCTCCCATGTAGGATGAGGAGTTTTCGTCTAACCCTAGATCTCATTAGGGTTCTAGAATATTCCTGATCAACTAACGATTAATTAGTGAATATTCAACCATTTAATTAATTAAACTGTTTAATTAATTCCCAAAATATATATCTAATTAGTTCCTAATTAATTACTAAAAATAATAATTAATAAACCAATTTCTCCTTTATTTATTCTAATCTATTTGGATCTTGAGGGCAACCCAAAAGAAGCATGTTATTATTAAAAATATTACCAATAGTTAATGACATTGGACACGCTTTCCAAAAGTCTCCCACTTGGACAAGTCATCAAGTATTCTAGGTCTAATACTCCTTCAATAATCAATAGAGAGTTATCCATCCAATACAACTACCGGTCTCTTATCTAATCAGGATTCAACCCTTAGATAAGTGACCAACTATTCCTTCCTTCTAAGCTATTGGTATGAATTCAAGACATGGATAATTGTCAGTCTCAGAATTCAAGATTATGTTTCCCGATATAGATTTGTGACGTCTGGATCTGACTACTAAATTGATGTTTCCTGATATAGATTTGTGAGTACTGCATCCACTACTAAATTTATGTTTCCCAATATAGATTTGTGATGACTGTGTCTAACTACTAAATTGCACACCTCAATTTCAATGAGGACTCGGCCAATCACTTTAGATGTCAGCACAAAATAATTGAGGGTCCAATAAATATCACTTCTCTTGTTAAGGCAGAATGAACAAATAAACTTCGACTACATAGTTTTTTTCTACTTCATCATGTCACACATGCATATACCCTTTATTGTCACCGGTTGCGGATAGCGTTTGAGTATACTGATTCATAAAAAAATTATAGAGCAAAACCCCACATGTATCTTTGTTTGAAGAATAGAAGATATTATTGTCTTAGAATTACTCGTGAATGTATCCATGAAGTAATCTCTATGCGTGTGTTGTTCCGATACTTAGATATTTATTAAGTACTCATGAGTGTTAGCGCAATCTCTATGATATGCCCAACCACTATGGACAATCCACCAATGCTCATGACAGTCTTAAATCACTTACTTACTTCCAAGAGTATGACCGACTATGGAGGTTTGAGGAAATTAATACTCGAGAAGTGAGTTCCAAACATGTAAAAGGAGAACACAGTGATAAGTTAATTGAACTAACTGATCCATCATATATTAAGATCTCCATTTAATAATAACCAAATCAAATTAAGACATATACTTCTTAAGTTCTCAAATTTAAAACAAACTAAACTAAGATTATTTAAGCCAATTTATTTGAAAATCTAATGCATTTTGGATTTGTCTCGCTGTTAGACTTGGTCGGTGACATTGGCTTAGGGAATGAATCGACAATATTATCTTCCGATATGACTCTATTGACTATGATTTCTCTACATTTTAATAACTGTCAAATGTGATGGTACTTACTGGGTATGTATCATGTGAGCTTCCGTAACATGGGATCCAAAGTTGAAGTAAGTTCACCTTTATAATCACAAGAAACTTCAAAATGACCATTAATGATTGAGATTTAACACTAATATCTCTAATGAATATATTTTAGTCACATAGTTTTCCTTTGCAGTCTTGCTAGCTGCAATATACTCTAAGTTTATTGTTAAATCCATTATGGTGTACTACTTCGTACTCTTCCAAGCTAATACTTCACCATTTAATAAAAGCACGAATTATGACTATGAACATAATCATCTTTATTAGTGTGGAACTTAGCATCAGTGTAACTTTTACATTTATCTCTTTCATACTAACAAGATCTTTTCCTTTGTCCTCCTAGGACAATTAGGAATTTTTTGATCTTTATTCGTTGGTTTTCGCCAAATTGATGTAATCTGACTTGTCATGCTCAAGGAATATGAATCATAAAATACGGCAAATCTTATGGTATATATGATCGATTCCATAGCCAAAGCATGTTGGACACAACTTATTTCCTTTAGCTCAATAATAGAACAAGGACATTAGCATCGCTCATTGCCATCCCATATTTTATTAAACATGAACTCTTTTTAAATTCTTCTTGTTGAGTTTCCTTAATATTCCATGTACTTCATATTTTGTACGTGTAATGTATCTCCCATGTGAATCATAGCAAAACAACTACCATACCAAGAAAATCTTCTACGCTTTCTAAGTTAGACCATAGTTTCCTATAAATCGTACACTATCTATGTACAATACAAGGGTGACAATCGTGCTCCCATTAGCATTAACATGTATATGGCTCATCTATGTTCCTCGAAATTCAAACACTTCAATTCTTTCATTGAAACCAATTTCTCTCACTAGCTTTGACATATATATTTCTCATCTTCATTTCTCGAAATTCAAACTCTTTG